TGCACGGCATTGTCTGGAAGCATGCTGAAAGCCAGGAAACACATTTCGTGGTTCACCATTTTGAAAAAGAGTATACACATTTTTTCTGAGAAACCACTAAATCATTATCAGTAAACTTTACCCAAATTTCTAAAAATCAGTGCCAAGAAAAAGGAAGCCCGAAGACTTGATAAAAAGTGTTAAGGGATAGAGAGCGATATCGGGTATATTGGTTAGCTTAATGCCATAATAATGCAGTGTAATAAACATAAAACCTGAGTAGAGCATACAGCAATGAACATTTGCTTCTGGCGCAAGAATCTGCAGATTGTCTGGAGTGCTTCTGCCTTCTTTGTTGGCTGGGGTGACTCTACCAGTTGGCTGGGGTGGTTCTGCTCCCGGTCCCTCATCCTTCCCCTGTGATTGGTGGGCTGTCTGGTGAGGGCAGAGGCACAAGAGAACATAATGGAGTGCCCCTGCATGCTTCCTGCTCCTAGTGATCACTCGGCCAAAACAAGTTCCATGGCCAAACTCAGAGTCAAGGGGTAGGGAAATCCACTCCCCCTGTTGGGGTGGGAAGACCTATGAAGTTATAAGGGAACAGTCAGGGGTCCAGGGAGGGGCAAATTGGAACCAAAAGTTCAAAAGTTCAATCTTTCAGAGCAAGAAAAGGTCACAATATTTTAGAGAGAAAAAAATTTCTAGCTGTTGGAAGATTGTCTCCGAATCTAAACTTACAAATCTACTTTGAAAATATTCCTAAGGGAGTGAAGATTTCAATTCTGTATAAATGCTAATGACTCTGACATTCCTAATGAAAATATTATTTTATAATGCACATTTGTTGGACCAGATTTCTGATTTTCCTTCTGAAGTTAGGGAAGAACTGAGCTTCCTAAGGGTACTGGTAATGTTGCTTGCTTTGGGGTCACACGGGGCAGGGTAATGAAATGTGAAATGTGTTGCGGCATTGTGTGGACTCAGAGCTGGCCTCAGAGCCCACTTGCTTGCCTCTCCAGAGCTGCTGCCTTCATGGCCCTATTAGCTCTTAGCTGACTGTCAGCTAAATTCTAGTCGAGCTGGCTAAAAATGGCTAAAAATGTATACTTTTTGGGGTGTGTTTGTATGGTAGTAGTAGAATCTTAGAAGCCTAAGGGATGAATCTCCAATGATGGGATATCAAGGAGCCTGACAAGAAAGCTAGTGATTCCTTCTCCAAAGTTACGGGAATCTTCTAGATTGAAAGCATCTCCACATATCACACTAAACCTCCTTGCCAATTTCATGTGATTCCGCTTATTACATTATCTTACTTGTTCTGTACAGCAGTCTTCAGACAAAAGCAGGAAAAGGCTCAGAGAAAATGACTTGGCCTAGACCACACACAAGGGGGAAGAGGGCATCTAGAATCCAAGTCGTATGGTATTAAGTTCTGTTTGTTTCCTTACGCAGATTGTGGCAGAAGCATCTTAAAACCCTCTTCATGGTGTGTCCGACCCTACCCCCTCCACTGTCTCCCTCCCCTCCCCCCCACCCCTTCTCTTTGCCTCATTTTTCATTTTTTGCCTCTTTATCCTCTGGGTGTCCTGGCCCCATCTTCTGACACATTAGCTAGTGATCCCATCATCTTGAAAGAGGAGTGGGGTGTTTCCCCCCTGGAGCTACTGTTTAATTTGTCAGCCTCCTTTATCCTGAGCCCACTGTGATGGCTGGACTTTATAATAGACCTAGAGCTTTCGCTCTGGCCTCAGCCCCAAATACATTAAATAATTAACTTCCAGCACTCTCCTGTGTGTGCCTTATCTCTGCATCATCCAAAATAGCCGATGGCATTTCCTCTGCATCAATAGAAAGCAGAAAGGTCAATTGGTGTTCGTGAAATAAAGATATATATTTTACAAAGCAGCAAGGTAGCAGGGTTCCTTTATTCTCTCATACCTGTGACTACTTCTTAACAAACACCTTCTGACTTCTTTAATCTCCAGCCAGTTTCCACCCACCATCTTGCAGTTCGGTTAGTGGTTAATACCAACCTGGGAGTCACCCCAAATCCAGACTGAGTCTGACTGAAGGAGAAAGTACTTTCCCAATAGTAATAATACAAAGGTACTTTCTTCTAGTCACCTTAAATCCTGCACCACTGCCCTCACTCCCAGTAAACCAAATGAAAAGTGAACCTGAATGAGTTTCTTTTATAAGGCATGGAGTCACGATCCAGGATGGATTTCCCACTCTCCCCCCCTCCGCCGCCCCAGCTTTCTCTTTTTGAAAGCTGATATAATGTATAGCATAAATCTCAGGAGGATAAGATGTTTTCAGTCTGGACCTGTCTTTCTAAACATTGTGGGGGGCCAGGATATACCACCCCCAGAATAAGCCGTTTTGGCATAAGGATTATTTTGAGCTGAAAGCGAGTGAGAAACAGCAGATGCAGGAAAAGCTTTGTGCCTTCCCCTTCCTGCCTAAAACCATACATTTCCTAGGAGAAAAGTGCCCTCCCTGAGCCAGAAAAGCCCGTTCTTATCATTGGAGATGGCGTGTCAACCCTGAGAAGGATCTGTACAAACAAACCTACTAAAATGACCTTTATCTTCCATTAGTTTCCCCCATATATTTCCTTGTTACTGTCCCACAATGTGCCTCCCTTAGGAGCTTAAATCCCCTTCCTTTGTCTTGTTACCTCTCTACAAATTTATTTCTCTTGTCAAAATGGTATATAAGCTTTCAGAGCTTTGAGGTTTTCACTTCTTCCTGGAAAGCCCCCTTCTGCCATGTAAAAATATTAACATCAAATAAAATTTGTATGCTTTTTCTGCTGTCGATCTGGGTTTTTTTTGTCAGTTCAACTTGTAGGCCCCAGCCACAGAGCCTATAGGCTAGAGCTGTGACCCTAACAACATGTTCTTAAACCCAGGCTACTACTGTTCCCTGGGCACATTCATCGGTGAGAGATGGTAGAGGCTACTTGAAATCTGGCTATTTCTTATTCTGACCCAGCAACTCACACAAGTATTCTGTTCTGATGTTATGAAAACCATTAGTAAAAAGATTCTGAAACTTTTATTAACTTGTATAAGTTGCTACTACTGTCTCCTTCTTCTAGATCCATTTGAAATCAGGTTGGTCATAAAAGGACACGGGAGCTTCGAGGAGCTCTTCTCGGGGGTGAGTTCTCCTCCCTGTTACCATGATGGCAATGTCCCGGGTTTCCCAGGGCAAACCTGATCTTCAGTGTTCTATGCTAGCAATGGTCACAGGTTCTGGATTTTGGCTTGAACAACATATCAAGTTCAGAATTCTGCAAAGTCTCAGATTCCGCCTCCAGGAAGGAGCCCGTGCTTGAGGCCTATTTTTCCTGTCCCAGACACAGGAGCTGTGAGATAAGCAACATGACTGTCACCTGCCAACCAGGAACAACTGCACAGCATGCAGGGGTGGGGATGGGCACCATCAGCTCTGGGAAGAGGCAGAGTGAAGATCTGTGCTGGCCCCAACACCCCTCCAGAGTGTGAAGTTGGGAGTTGAGGGAACACAGAGGAGTGATGTTCACAAGCCCTTGAGCATGGCAGAGGTCCACTTAGGTACCCTGTGGTTCGTTTGGCTGCTGGGCAGAGGTGGGAATGAGACTTAGAGCACAGTGGCCGTGCTCCCTTGTCCTTGAACTGACCCCATCAGATTCCCCAAAGCCTAGTCACACTTTGACCTTTTCTCTCCCAAATGCTGCCTCTTCAGAGTATTCACTGTGGGGCATCTGAAGTGTTTGGGCCCTCCTTCCCAGTCCTCACACGACTTTCAGAAATGTTCGTGAGATGAATTAGCCCCAAGGAGAGCAGACCAGAGTGCTGCTCCAAATAAAGACAGGGGACACAACAGGAAGAAGGGTCTGACTGTGGTTCTCACACCAGGAGCGTCAACATCACCTGGCAATTTGTGAGAAATGCAAATTCTCAGCGTCCACCCAGACCTACTGAATCAGAAATGCTGGGGGTGGGCCCTGTCATCTGTGTTTTAATAAGCCCTCCTGGTGATCCTGATGCTCAAATTTGAGAAACACTGACTAGTCTAAAAGGCATTGCATCGTGCTGGGGGCGCGGCATGTGGACAACAGGTGGGTAAGGCCACAGGCCTCTCTGCCTCAGTTTCTTCAACTGTTAGCAGAGGCCGGACACTGAACCCTATATAATCTGTGCATCAGATTCACCAGGTAGTTATGTAACAGAGATGTGCTTGGGCCATGTACCTACCCAGAGAAAGGAGGGGGTGGGGCTGGAGATGGCCAAAGGTTCTCTGTTTGACTGAAATTCAGACAGGCTCCTCTGAGCACTCTTTTGGCGAGGCCTCCACCTGGGCCCTATCTTCAGGCTGCTGAGTCCAGCTGAGCAGGAATCCTGTCAAGTCAGTTTATTGAGAATCACCACCCTTGATATCTGATCACCCCGGCCTGTCTTCAGCAAGAGTCCTGTTAAGTCAATGTGACAAAAGTTTCCCCTACTCTATATGTCTTCTCCTAGTAACTTCATATCCCCAGAGTCCTGCTGTGCCCCATCCCATCCCTGGTTATAAATCTCCAGCTTTCTGGGGTGCCTGGGTGGCGCAGTCGGTTAAGCGTCCGACTTCAGCCAGGTCACGATCTCGTGGTCCGTGAGTTCGAGCCCCGCATCGGGCTCTGGGCTGATGGTTCAGAGCCTGGAGCCTGTTTCCGATTCTATGTCTCCCTCTCTCTCTGCCCCTCCCCCGTTCATGCTCTGTCTCTCTCTGTCCCAAAAATAAATAAACGTTGAAAAAAAAAAAATCTCCAGCTTTCTGTGCTATGTTTGGAGTTGAGCCCTGTCTCTCTCCCCTATTGCAATAGTTCTGAATAAAGTCTTCTCTACTGTTTTGACAAGTGTCAGAATAATTCTCTAACACTATGTTTACATATGTGCATGTTTCAGAAGCTCCTCAAGCAAGTCTGATGTAGCCTCTTGGTTGAAAACCCACATGCGTAGCGGTTAAGAGCATGGGTGGTGGCATCAGAGAGACCTGGGGTGACAGCTCAGCTCAGGTCTGGTAACTGAGTAAATAAGCACATCAGCTAAAAGAGGGGGACAATGTCTCCTCTCTCTCCCCGTCTCTCTCATCAGTGAAAAGATCCAGTGACATAGGTCCTTAAACTTGTAAGCTCAGAGCACAGCACTGGCATGTGACAGGCACCAAATAAATCCAATGTTAGCTGCTCTGGGGAATAATTATTACATAGATGTGTTACATTCATCAATATACTTCTAGATAAGGAAAAGATAAAATAGGTGATTTACTTTATAACCATGGGAAATATATTTATTAGAATAAATGTCTTTAATACTCCATGGATGAGCTTGGAGAATAAATCACAGAAGAGAATTGCTTTTTGGATTTTTAGTCCAGGTCCTTATATATATGCACATCTCGCTTGTTAGCCAGGAAAGGGCAAAAGTGGACCCAAAATGGGTCACCTGAAACAAATATTTGTGACTCCTGGTTAGCAGCTCCGTGTGTCGGAGGCCAGTGTTCAGCGACCTTCAGGAGCCAGCTGGCCACAGAGCACTGTGACTCAAAGCAGACAGGCACCGAGCCTGTCCCCAGGTGGAAATGGTAAAGAGTAGATGATTCTCCAGGCCATCACGGGGAGGTCCAACCCTCTGGAAGCCCTGAGGGCACGAGTGCGGGAATGCTGTTCAGGAAGCCACGCTTGGTCCAGAAGCTCACCTCAGAGTGTAGACCAAACACCAACTGGCCCGGGGTTCCAGGTACAGGCAGATATGTTTACTACTCTGTAAAGGACTCCCTCCTCTTGATAAGGAATTGAAAGTAGAGATGGTAGCTCCAGCTACGTACTCATTTCCCATAACGGAGTCCAGCTATGGGCTGAATGGATTTGTCCCCTTGAACTTGCTTGCTTTTGGCAGTTGTTGGTGTGGGTTCCAGAGTGTGGGCCCTTTACCCATTGTGATCAGCAACTGCTCCTCAAAGTACAGGAGCTGGTCAACTTCAAAACAGTCACTGGCATGAGGCACCACTTTTTCTAGAGCTGCCCGGATCTCGGCTTCACTGGCATTCTGGTGCCTTGCTCTCTTGAGGTAGTTATAGACCTCCTCAAACACTTGTGCTCCCAGCTTCTGCATGGCTGATCTGCCATACAAGTCAGAAGAGGTAGAAAAGAGTTATGCATTCAAATCGCCCACAAGAAACGTCTTTTTAAATCATTAATTACACAGATCACATTGTGGCTCTGAGATTAGAAATAAAGGGAAAAAATAAGACGTGATGGCTCTACTGTGAACATTCAATAGTGTTCAGGAGACCCTTCTTGAATGTCTATTATACAACAGGTGGCTTCTAGGAACTCGGAATACGACATTGGACACATTAGGTAAATTCCTGACTTCGTAGAGCTTCCCTTTTAGGGAGAGAAAAAGCAGAGAAATTAAAAAATACACATGCAATAAAATATCAGGCAGCGCTATGTGCACTGAAGAACAATAAAGCCAGGTGATAGGGAGAGAGACAGACAGACAGACAGACAGGTGAGGAGCTGGCCAGTCCCCTGTGAGGAGGTGTCATTTGAGCAGAGACCCACATGAAGTGAGGCCAATACTGGGGGGAGAGAACTGGGGCCCTGAGGCTGAAACATGTTGGAGAAATATCGAGAAGGCTGGTGTGGCTCGTCAGGAGAACAAGGGGGAAGAGGAGAGTGGGATATGAAGTCAGAAAGCCCATTACTAATATTAATAACATTAATGAGAGCAATATAATAACAATGAGGAGGAAGAGGCAAAGGAAGGGTAGGCACTTTCCTATGCACTTAACCTTTACAACAGCTCTGGAAGGAGGCATTTTTAAAGTCCCCTCCCCCCCTTTTAATCAAAAACATTTTTTAATGTTTATTTATTTTTGAAGGAGAGAGAGACAGACAATGAGCCGGGGAGGGGCAGAGAGCCAGGGAGACACAGAATCCAAAGCAGGCTCCAGGCTCTGAGCTGCCAGCATAGAGCCCAATGGAGGGCTCGAACTGACAGACCATGAGATCATGACCTGAACTGAAGTCGGACGCTTAACCGACTGAGCCACCCAGGTGCCCCTCGCCCCCCCTTTTTTTTTACAGATGGAGAAAATGAGGCTTAAAGGGGTGAGGGCATTTGGCCAAATTCCCACCAAGACTCATGTTTGTATTTCTGTGCTCAACTCCGGCCCTTGTCCTTTCGTGGCCACAATCTGGGCATCATCATAATAATGTCACACCTGCTACCTTTATTTTGCCTGCGTTTCCGTCGACCTCCAGCTAGGGTCACAGACTAAAGGCCTGTGAGCAAAACTAGGCCCAGGGCATGTTTTGTTTGATCAGCACTATGCTTTACGTTCTTCTGGTTTGTTATTATTTTTTAGCCTTTTAATGTGGAAGTCTAGGCACGGCCTGTGCTCCCCATTCTCCATTTCTTTACTGTCCTGTGCCCACCTTCCTCATATCATTTTAAAACAGGCTGCTTCTCATGTTTCACTGACCCGCCTGACTCAAGGGCATTCAAGTTTTATGAATTTCACTCTATGGTTCAAAACTGTCATTTTTAATGCCTCCATACTGTTACACTGAATTTATGTGCCGACTTTTACCTAGTCATTCTTCCACCAAAAATTTAGTGTTTTTCACTGTAACACTGAGTGAACATCCTTAGGAACAAAGCTTTTTCATCCAGGGGAATATTTGCAGGCATCACATTTCTAGGAGTGAGGCTAATTACAGGAGTGTGTTCCCTCTGTGAAGAGTCATATGGGCATTTGTGATTTCTGTACTTTTCTGTATATACGTTGGGTTGGATTCAAGGATTTAAAGGGGCGCCTGGGTGGCGCAGTCGGTTAAGCGTCCGACTTCAGCCAGGTCACGATCTCGTGGTCCGTGAGTTCGAGCCCCGCGTCGGGCTCTGGGCTGATGGCTCAGAGCCTGGAGCCTGTTTCCGATTCTGTGTCTCCCTCTCTCTCTGCCCCTCGCCCATTCATGCTCTGTCTCTCTCTGTCCCAAAAATAAATAAAAAAACGTTGAAAAAAAAATTTAAAAAAGTTTGTGAGAATGGAATTATTAGGTAAAGGTGTATAAATTTTCTTACGACTTTAACCTTAAGAGATGCTTCTTTATTCTTCATTTCAGTGGATTTGGTGAAATGAAAGGTCAGAGTTTTTGGGGTATTTTTTTCCTAGAATTTTCAAAGCATTACTGCTAGACAGTGCTGATGGTGATGCTGACAGTAACCACGGAAGGCATTAGTCACAGGCTCTAATTCATTTTATAAGCTGTTATTGATCAGCACTATTCAACACTGCAATCTCCAGAACACAAGCCAAAGGTATTGCGGCAGACAAATGTATCTAGTTTAGAGGCTATAAATTATAATGTTACGACACATACATTTTAAATTTTAACTTACTTTTAAACGGTACCTTTAGAGTTTGTAAAATACTTTTACATTCATTATTTCAAATGATCCTTGTGAACAAGGCAAGTCATTGAACATCTATCTCTATTTGATGGATGAGAATAAGTAGGTTGGCTTTTGCAAACTCACACAGCTAGTGGCTAATGGGGCTTAAACTCAGACCACAGGTCCTGTAATTCCAAGTGCTGGGGAGATCCGCAGCCCTAAGGCCCTGGGCTGTCCGGCTTGAATCAATTTCCCACCTTCTGCCTGGAGATTATCAGGACCCATCCCAGGATGCCTCACATCCCTAGTCACCTCATTCACCGCTAGAAACCCAAGTTTGCCTCTTGCTGACATTTAGCCAACCCTGTCACTCCCCCCGTGCATAGATGACTTCGGCGACCCGCCCTCTTTCTCCCATACCCTACCCCTCTCACCATTCTTGTGGTATCATTATTCTTGGTCTCTCTGACTTTGGCCGTTCTCATATCCAATTACCGTTTTCTTTACCCTCCTCAGTTGTCCACCCCCATAATCATTCCCTTGACCTCCTTGGCACCAATAACCCTGCCTCTTCTGGAATCAGTTTCAAGCCTTGCACTCTACAACCATCTCTTTACACTCTTCCACCATACTTACTCCAGCTCTTCTACTTCATGGTCACCTGCAGTCTTTCAGCCTGTCACCTAACACCCTTGACTCTTTCACTCCCCTCTTCCTTTGTCAGACTCCTCTAGCAAAGCTGTAAGTTAAATCCAGACATCTACTTACTTATGCCTGTACCTCAACAAAAACATTCCAGGAGAGAAATATCCAATTCTCCAAAAGGTCCCATTTAAATAATTACTGATCATAATTCAAAATGGCCCACATCACTGCCCATGATTCTACTATACTTCTCTGGTATTCTTATTTTCCATGGCTCAAAGTAACTATTTCACACCTTCTTTATTCTACAACTTGCTAAGTCCCACCAGGTGATGACTTTACCTAATATCCCATTGAGAAAATAGAAATGAACACATAGAGATTCTTCATCTTCTCAGTGCCCAAATTACCCACCTCCCTGAATCCATCACCACTTACTTGGCCTTCCCTTTGTCCCTAGTGAAGGGACCATCCATGCTTCTGTAAAAGACCATCCTCTCTCTGAGTGCTTTGGATCTCAGCCTCTGTCACCATCCCAGTGACCTTCCCTCCAACAGCTATCTTCTTTCTTTTCCTTCTCCTCTATTTCTACGTCTACTGGAGCATACATATCAGGACAGAATATGATCTAATGCCCCATTTTAAACAAGAAGCTTCTAGGGCACCTGGGTGGCTTAGTCAGTTAAGTGGCTGACTTCAGCTCAGGTCATGATTTCACGGTTTGTAGGTTTGAGCCCTGCATCAGGCTCTGTGCTGACAGCTGAGCCTGGAGCCTGCTTCAGATTCTGTGTCTCCCTCTCTCTCTGCCCCTCCATTGCTCATGCTCTGTGTCTCTATCTCAAAAAAATAAACATTAAAAAATTTTAAACAAGAAACTTCCCTTGACCTCCACACTCAATCAGTTCACTTGCTTCCTGATCTATCACTTTGACCTCCATTGCTAGCAAAGCTTCTTGAAAGGGTTGCGTGTGGCTGCTGTTTCTACTTTCTGACTGCACACTCTTAGTCTACTCCTCTTGGGCCTTAGTCCTTCTTCCTTTCATAAACTACTCTTGTAATGACCTTCACGTGGCCAATTCCCCTGGCATCTTTGTATGCATCTTGACATCTCAGTGCATTCAACAGCTGACTGCTCTCTTCTGCAGACCCTTCCTTCTGTTGCTTTTGGTGACACTGCCTTCACCAGGAGTTTTTCCTATCATGCTGTCTGCTTCTTTTTAGCCTCTTTGGCCTTTAGCCTCTTCCTCCTCTACATTTCAGAGTCTTTAATACCATTTATAGACCGAGGACTTCCGGTATGTCCACCCTGTCCTTCACCTACAACTCCAGGCTTGTGAATCAACTGCCCAGTTGGTACCACCAACTGGATATCTAAAGGGTATTTCATTCAACCTCAATATGGTGACAAAAAGAACTCTTAATTATAAGTAAAATGCTATGAAAGTTGGGAAAATAAAACCCCCCATGGAGGAGGAGAAGACACCATCTCACTTGGGCCATAACAGGTGGAGGGAAGCCAGGTGGCAGTGAATAGTGGGAGTGCTGGCAAACCAGTGAGTCAGTTTGGCATGTGAGAAGGGCGTGTGAAGAAGTGTGAGAACCAGATGACCATAACAAATGTTAAAGGAACTTTAGAATCTGACCAGTAATTTCACCTGTTGATGAGAAAGAAGCCCCAAAATGTCCCCTGAAACCACAACTAACAGTTTCTGAATCTTCTCTATGTGCCAGGATCTATTCTGAGCATCTCCTCAGACCATCCCATTAAATCCTATGGATATGATATTGTTATTTCCATTTTACAGACGAGGAAATTGAGACATAAGAGGATATCGAATAACTTGCCCACTGTCACATAATTTTTAAGAGGTGGAGCTGGGACATGAATTGCAGTAATTTCTCTCCAGGGCTCACTTTTCATCACTGTGGATTCAGAGACCCTGGAGTTGAATATTGACTCTACCTGTCACTGGCCATGTGATTTGGGGCCACCTCTCTGAGCCTTGAATTTTCATATTTATTTATTTATTTATTTATTATTATTTTTTTTTAAATTTTTTTTTTCAACGTTTA